CTCTACCATATATACATCAGGATACTCGACTTTTTGTAATTCTTGTTCATAAAAAACACCTTGAATCGGATTACCCATGGCATCTTCCAACAGGTATGTTGTTGGATCAGTTGTACGAATTTTTCTGATTTTAAAAATCTCATTCGACCAATTCGGTGTATAGCCTTTGGAAAAAGCTTCTCGAAATTTACTTATTCGTACGTGATCATTCACTCCAGACTTAGGATTGGGATTCGTTATTTACAAGTGACTATGAACAGTATCAAGGAGCAATTTTTCATTTTTCTTTCTCACTTCTATTGGTTTCAATCCCATGTTTGGTATTATTATATGTAGAAACTACATCTTTTAGTATGTCAATCCATTTGTAATTACCCTGTAGACTGAATTCTTTTCACATCATGGTTTTCAAAGTTCTATTCACACGTTCTACAATGCTAGCCTTCATACTTGAGAAAGTGCTATAATGGTAAATTTTATATTTCATCATCAGTTCAGAGAACAATTTATCATAGAACTCGCGGCCTCTATCAGTATGAAGATTTTTCGGTGGAGATTTCCCTGAGGATATAATTTTTCTCATCGCAACTGTGACATTATCAGCCGATTTGCTTTTCACTGGTTCAAACCACACAAATTTCGAAAAAGCATTTATTACAACCAAAATGTACTTGTATCCTTTGTTGAATTCAGCATATGGTTGCATTTCGACAAGATCAGCTTTCCACAAATCATTCAATCCTTTGATAACTACTCTCCTCCTCCGGAATCGCCTCTTTGCTGGTTTATGTAGCTCCACAACTACTTCTATCTTGGTGTTAGACATACTTGATGATAGGGGTCTGAATCACCAACTGGATATAAAGATTTTCATCTGATACTCTATATTTTGATTGGAATTTCAATGTTGAACCTTCACTTAATTTCTGTCCAATCAGTTCGCTAATTTCAATCGTATTATTACCGACCGTTACTGAAACGTCTTTAGGATAACAGTCGATTCCAACTATGAAACCTCCCCACAATGGAAATGTGTATTCATCTGAATTATTTTGTAGCTTGTATAACCAGGGCAGTGGAAGCCTCTTTATTACTTTGGTTATACTGCCAGTAATTGTTAGTATACTTTCACTGTATAACTGATGTATATTCACTGGTTGTTGTTGAATAGTTTGATATTGATCTAGTCTCTGATGTTGTAACATATGTCTACCGAATTTATCGACTGGCATGATGCCAATTCCAATGATCAGGAATGAATAACACCAAAGCTGTGATACATGTTATTTTATTCAATTATTTCAGTTTTCCTGAGTTCCTTCAACACGAAAATTATCTCATTATTATGTCCGGTATGACCAGCTTGTTGTTCTGCAATCAGTACCTTCAGTCTGTCTTTGATTTCATTATAGTTATCAAAATATTTGTATTCTATCTTCTTATTGTTCTAAGGCATCATCGGACCGATTCCTTGTCCTAATTTAGCAGAGGATGTCGATTGTGACCTAGTGAAAACCCTCGGTCCTTTGGAGGTTGGGATGGATGAGGAAACTTTTCCTACTGCCTTAGCCATAGAATGTAATGATGTTACCCTTGGTTTCATAATTTTCACAAATTTCTCAGTAGTAGACAAGGATAATCCATTTTCACGATTATAATCAGTATAAATGACATTTGTTGCGGTAACAATATCAATAAAGTTGTCGATATCATTGACTTTGTAACGTATTGGATGTTTTTTGAACATCAGTTCATATAGCCCCGGTGTACTTACCATTTATTTATTGAGAAATGCGGACCAAGAAATTCCACAACACTATCTCCTATCATCCAGTTATCTGTTGATACTTTGAATCTGATACCAAATTTGTGATCGAAATCCTCTGGATCACCCTTGAGTATGTCTTCGATATACGCTCTAGGAAGAGGTTTTTCATATTTTTTCAAATATTTTTCCAATTCAGGATCTCTGGCTTCCTGTAGAGCTTGTAGATTCTCAACTTGACTTTGTAATTGACCCAAACTCTGATCAAAAAAGCTTATTTCAGGATCGTGTACGAATATTTCATCATCTTGTAGTATTGATGGATCTTTAGCTAGCAATCTATAATACTCATCGTGTTGTGGAGTTGAAAATGAATCAGGTTCTGTCTTTTCCACTTTAGGAACGGCTGTCTGATGAATCGATGCAATCAATTCTTTCAGAGTGTTGGTTATTGGTTCATAACTTTTCTCCAACGAACTCTTTGATTCCGCAATATCAGTTTTGAGGCTCTGATATTTTTGTTCCACAAATTTTCTGGCTTTTACCAACTGTTCTGCGAGCTGTCTATTCATTGTACTTAATCAGATATACGATGTGTCCCATCTTATATCAAATTTCCAAAACTTCATCGAATCCTCTTCTATATCTACCTTTCCTCAATCCCGCATCCTTATCGATGACAACAAATCCATGATTCGTCTTCCAACAGAATGAACACATATCCATAAACTGTTGGAATGACATATCAACGTTGACATGATTATCATAAATATGTTTCAAATTAGTAACATCTTGCAAAAATAATTATTAGGTTGGCATTGTCTCTTATCAGTCTTTTCGGGATTGAGCTGTTAGTCTGACATAAGTAGAACACATCGGTATTTTTATGTCGCCCAAAACAAAAAAAATCTCTGATGATATTTTGGTTACATGTGGCAACATCGTCGAATATGATGACTGAATTTGGGGCTTCTTCATTCGGAGAGATAACTTCATCGCCGTCATCGTACTCGAAATATCGAATTTTCTTCATAGGTCTGAACAATGTCCTCAAATACTCATATTTTGGTTGATAAAGCGACTTGGAGTACAAATACAGATTATCGAATCTCATACCATTTGGATCATCGAGTAAACTTATCATACAGTTTGTCTTTCCACATCCCGAAGAGCCTACTACCAGGGCTCGTTTGGAGCCACCTTCGAATATATCTCCATGAAGTAGTAGTAGTAGTAGCTAATGAAACTATCATGATCAGTAACAGATAGTTTCACTTTATGTTTCTCAACTTTCATGTTCAGAATCCGATTCAACACTGGTATATAGATTTGACTTATTTTCACATTTATAACATTCGGTACTGAACTTTTGAACTCTTGGTATGCTCGTGTACGGTGCTCGGAATGATAAAAAAGAAAGAGGATTATTGAACAATCTCATGAATAGATTACCCGTCGAATTGCATTTGCCAAGTTATAATTCTTGTGGTCCTGGAACCAAATTATCTGAACGACTTTCACGTGGGGATAGAGGAATCAACACATTGGACGAAGCTTGTAGAGATCACGATATAGCCTATTCGAAATACACTGATTCAGAGAACAGAAACGTAGCGGACCGCATTCTGTCAGAGCGAGCGTGGAACCGTTTCAAGGAAAAAGACACGAGAATCGGGGAAAAAATCGCAGCACTTGGAATTGCAGGAATAATGAAGAGTAAGAGTAAATTAGGCATGGGATTGAAAAGACGACAAGCTGGTCGGAAAAGGGTGGTGCAATAAGTTTCACTCAAGCAATGCGCAAAGCAAGAAAAGGTATAAAAAGTCAAGATATTGACATACTTCAGGCTGCGAATCTAGTTCTCTCTTCTATTGGTGAAAAAAAAAGGTTTCGAAACCAAAAAAGAGAATCATACCCATCTCCAAATCTGGAGGGTTCATTCCACTGATTCCCCTCTTTGCTGCTCTCGGTGCTCTTGGTAGTCTTGGAGGAGGGGCAGCTGGGATTGCCCAAGCCATAAACAAGGCTAAGGCAGCCAGGGAGCAACTGGATGAACAAAACAGACATAACATGAAAATGGAACGATCAGCTTTGGAAAAAGGTCTATTTTTGAAACCTCACAAACGTGGATATGGATTATTCCTGAAACCGTATTCAAAGAACTGGACATCAAGCTACCACACCGTCCATTGACAAATGTAGATTTATTGAACTACACTGAAAAATTAAGAATACCGTTCTTTCGAGGAGTGTTTATGTTAGATGAGATACCCAGGAAAATGAGAAAGCATAAAAGTGATATCATTAATTTAGATGATAAGAGTGGGGATGTTACCCATTGGGTTTGTTAAAACAAATCTCAACAAAGTATCAAATATTTTGATAGCTATGGTAGCCTGATTCCCTTTCGTGCGCTCCAATCGATAAAAAAAAATGATAATTTTCAATCAACCAATTCCTACAATTGTGGTTATCTT